TGTGTGTGTGCAGGTTTGACTATACTTCTGAGGTCCAAAATGTCCTCACTAATATAGTGAAACCTAGTGCTGGGTGGTTTGACCAAATATCTGTATCATGTTTTTTTTGTTTTTTTAGGATTGTGGCAGTTTCACTGCTTATCACGGTTTTTCCCTGACTGGGCCATTATATGACTCAGAATGCATGAAAATGTTGCAGAACCACTGCATTTTAATCACTATCCAAACAAAGATGCAGCATGAGCAGTTTAAAGCAAAAACTGTGAATGGTCTGACTTTAGGTTTGTTAAACTATACATAAAACATCAGCATGAATCAAAAACAGCAGACAGTCTGAATGAGAACACAAATTCACTCTCTGACAGCAGGTTTTCTGAAGACAGTCAGTTCCCTTCAGAGATACATTCATTTAAACCCCCACTCCCAGTTCAGTATTTAGGATTTTCATTCAATATTTCGCGGAAGAGAAAACAGACAGACAGTCTCTGATTCTGTCTGAGGAAGTATGCACACTTTTGGACTATATAAGCTCTAATGGATGCTGTTCAGTGCAGCTATGTGACACACAAATAAACCGCAGCAGACATTACTGAATATTAATGTATGTTGTTATTATATTAAAAATATCATACATTAACGATTTGTTATTTTGCATTCCTGACATAAATTAAGAAATTACTGTCACTGCAATCGAGTTGTATCGTAACAGTGGTCAAATATCGAAGCTGGAGTATTTAATCTTTCTAATGATACTCAGTTTGTCCAGATGAAGTAAGAGTGTGATATTTTAGCGTGCTGTGAATGTGAAACAACAATAGTCTGAAGCCACCGGTGATCTTTGCATAACTCTCAATTCAAGATGCTGTCTACGTTGCATGGGCACTTAAAAATTACTGTTACGTAATTCAAACTGGTGTACCGTTTGAACTGGTTTATCGCCCAGCTGGCACTAGTGAAACCTATATCATATTGAAGTCGGACCTATAGTTGAAAAGGCATGTACATTGGCTAAATCATGTTTCTATTTAGTGTTTTGTCAGGTCAGGTGAGAGAAAATATAAATTACCTGATGTAAAAACAATGGAAGTTTATTAGTTGTCCTTACTAATATAGTGAACCAAACGTGTGTGTATGTATGTTTATGTAAGTTTCCAGATTGCTGTATAACAGTGTATAGCTGTGCTGGATATATTAAGACTTACGACAACAACACAGTTTAGCTAGTGCCTGTTATTAGGCAACACTATACTGATTTGACTACCGATTTGTGACCCTGGACCACAAAATCAGTCATAAGGGTCAATTTTTTGTAATTGAGATTTATACATCATCTGAATAAATAAGCTTTCCATTGATGTATGGTTTGTTAGGATATGACAATATTTGGCCGAGCATCACATGATAAATAAATGGAAATTTAAACCCTTATAACCAGGCTTTTAAAGGCTCACAAACACGTAGAGTATAGGATTGCAGGGTATTTCGGTACTAGCTAAATACCGGTATACCGGTATATTATATTTCAAATTATACAATATCATGATTTTGCTCATTTCGGTGCTTGATACGCTGCTATTCCGAGGTTCACTGCTATGCTGCAGTGTTACTGATGTGAAACCTGCAAATGTGACAACAGAGGAACAAGCTGTAATTGTGCTGCTGATGATATAAAATAAGACAATATATAATGTTACTGCTCTTGTGTGCATTTGTGTAAACACTCTGTGATGAGTGTCAAAGGTTTCTATTTACAGTGTGTTTTTGCAAAGTTGAGCGTTGTAGCCAATCATGGACATCTCTATTGAGCGTGTGAATGTAATGACCAGTCAGATGTGTTTAAGTTGGTCTGAATTCACTCCACACTGCTGAAAGCGCAGAAGTTTGTTTAGTATCGCTTCTGTTTTAATGAGTACAGAGCACTGAGAAGTATGTATTGTAAACAAGCAACACATTTGTTACTGTAGAGTTTTATGCAGATCTCTGTTTTTAATTCAGTTATATTTTGAGGCTGTTTATTTGTCACCTATTGTATCAATTTAGTATCGATACTGAGGTATGAGATTCTGGTACAGTACTGAAGCCAAAACTGTGGTATCGAGCCATCCCTAACATACAGCTACCCATAAGGCAAATGCAGATTCTACTACAGATCCTACCACAGTCCTCAAGGGTCTGGCTCAGTTCTGCTTTTATTGTGCTGTATTTTTGTTCTGCTTGACAGAGACGTTTAGATTTGCTGAGTCTTTTTTTAACTTAGTAAACATTTTTGCTTCCTGAAACTCAAAGACCTACACATAAATATTGTCCTGTTTTTTTATTTTTTTTTTTATTTTTTTTTATTTTTTTAACCAACCAGAATACATTATAGGGTATTGGGACCATACAGGATATTATATGAATATATTGTATAGTTTTAAATACTGTTGTAAGTCTAAATATATAGTTATAAATCTGAATATACAGTTAATTATTAATTATAGTTATATAATTGATTATAAATTCAGTATATTGAGTTACATTGTATTTTCAGGATGTGTAACTTTATATTCAGATTTATGTTTTTTTATACTCAAGGGTCTGGCTCAGTTCTGCTTTTAATTATTGTGCTGTATTTTTGTTCTGCTTGACAGAGACGTTTAGATTTGCTGAGAGTCTTTTTTTAACTTAGTAAACATTTTTGCTTCCTCAAACTCAAAGACCTACACATAAATATTGTCCTGTTTTTTTATTTATTTTTAATTTTTTAATTTTTTTTAACCAACCAGAATACATTATAGGGTATTGGGACCATACAGGATATTATATGAATATATTGTATAGTTTTAAATACTGTTGTAAGTCTAAATATATAGTTATAAATCTGAATATACAGTTAATTATTAACTATAGTTATATAATTGATTATAAATTCAGTATATTGAGTTACATTGTATTTTCAGGATGTGTAACTTTATATTCAGATTTATGTTTTTTTATATTTATATTTTATATCCAGTATATTACAGTATGCTCAAATGCATAACACGCATATTAAAATGTATTAACGTATGATCAGATTTATAACTGTATTTTCAGATTTACTTTGAAAGTGTTTCTTGTTTGCCCCCACCCTGTAACTGGTAGAAGATAAAAGCGAAACTGAAGTAAATCTCCTAGCTCACTCTTTTGCTCCCTTTGAGAACTGGAGCACCTTCTGTTTGATGTTTTGAACCAGAGGGTGAGAGCAGGAACAACCCCACTAGCTTGATTCATAAACATCAGAATTTTTTTTCTGGGGTGTTGAAGAGTGTAAATCATGTACTGTACCTCAATACTGCAAATTAAAATCTCAAATAATCAAATCAATATGGTACTCATCAGAGAGCCTTTATAAAATATCTCTCAAATTTTTTATAATAGTATTGTTAACTTATTTTGCTGTATATTCTGTTCTCTGTTGGTTAACCCAGCTTCTGCACAGCACTGTAGAGCTGAATGCTGTGTACTGACGTCAAAATGCCTTTAAATCACAATAAACATCAGAACTTTTTTTCTGGGGTGTTGAAGGGTGTAAATCATGTACTGTACCTCAATACTGCAAATTAAAAGCTCAAATAATCAAATCAATACGGTACTCATCAGAGAGCCTTTATAAAATATCTCTCAAATTTTTAATAATAGTATTGTTAACTTATTTTGCTGTATATTCTGTTCTCTGTTGGTTAACCCAGCTTCTGCACAGCACTGTAGAGCTGAATGCTGTGTACTGACGTCAAAATGCCTTTAAATCACCATTAGTGCATGTAGCTTGTTAACCTCACAGACAAACATCAAAGAGAGACCGAGATTGTAAACCTGTTGTCCTATTACTTATTCATGTTTATCAATGGTGTGTAGCAAAATAAAGATATATTAATGGCTCGTTGAAATGCTTAGA